ACCTTCTTGTACTGTTTGATGCCTAGCGAGCCTACTTTTGCGATACTCCCCACGTCCCCCGCGGCCAAGTACGAACCCATTCTTGGGGATTTCCCATGAAAAGAGGGCTGTTAAACGTAGCATTTAAAGCTGTAAAGAATACACTCATAATAAACTTCATTTTTTTAACATCTTGACTTCCATAGCTCCACTCCCACTATCAACTGAAATGTCGAACCATTGCTCGGCTCTGAGTGACCCTTGAGATTACGACCCCCCCCCCCTCCCCAGCGGCCAAGTACGACCCCCCCTATGGGTTTCGCACAACGATGCTGTACCCTGGGCATGGGCACGTTATCCAGCCGCGACGAAGAGGTCTTTCCCTTTTCTGTTTTTGGGTGTGTGTTCATACAAAATTACTGAATTTCCAAGTTTGTGAAAGGCAGGGCGGGAGTCAAACATAAGTTACAGATATTCTAAACGCTGGCCCAGGTGGAATTGAAATTAGGTGCGTAGGACCCGCGAGTGCATTACCCCTCAATTTACGCCTGGGCAACACCTGTCGAACGGACAGTGCAAAAGGCGTATAACGGTATGCCCAATTCGTGTTCGTTCACGGGACCTACACATTTAGTTTCACGCGCAATTTTTGGGGTACTGTACACCGCTGTCTTGAGTTATAATCTTACCATTTCTATTACTGTACTTCACAAACCTCATGGAAACGGTCGAAAAGCTTTTCAGTGAGCTCCATATTAAGCATCTGGTTCGGCATTGGCAACTTCAAGGGCGACGCGAACAATCCCCTTATAAGCGGATCGATGCCACCTTCGGAGAGAAGTCGTTCAGGAGCGAAGAATGCCTGCAAGAATGAGAAGGTAGGAAGTTCATTGCAAGAACATGTCTTACATCTGCTGTCTTCAGGAGACCTCCTATGGTGAGGATCCCTAGCAAGGGGGGGGGGTCACATTTAGTAACTGGAGAGAGGGAGGTAGTACTCACACTGTTGAGGTTCTACACTTTTATTTTCAATTCTATGAGCTAAATGCCCTGCTCTTAAGAAATATCAGAGGAGCAAAATCTCATGATCGGGATTATTATGAACAAAATGGCCCTAATGCCCACCTTGTGCAGCGAAATATGTCCATCTTTGATCGGATTGAAGTCCTTGTCATAACGGAATAGGGTCGGATTGATGAGAGTGTGGCCGAACCTGAAATATTTTGATTGCGACTCGAAAAAAGCACTCGGCGTCCTAGCATTAATGTCACCTGGCCAGCTTGTGGAACTGTCGCCTGCTATCAAAGTAGTAAAGACAAAGCCCGCGCTCATTTGCCATCTTAGATAGTGAATTTAGGCTTCGCATAAAAAGGACAAGGTTTAGAGTAAAACAATAGTGAAGGAAAAAGCAGAAAAAACATGCCCAATGACCTAAATAGGACCCCATTACAATCCTAGTTTGTACGTGCATACGATGGGGAAACAGCGCTTATGGACGAGCGTTCCACGTTATTGGCCCGCTGCCAGAAATATGTGGCGCACTGTTGAAAGACTGCACTTTAATATTCTTAATTTTTTCCAGTCGTATTATTTCTTTGTTCTTTTTGAGTTTGTGTTTTGCTTTTCAAATTCAAAATGTTGCTATTTTCTTCCAACATTTCGTGCACTTTTGCAATACAATACTTTTTGCAGTACATTTCCAGTTTTACCACTCCGCGCGCTCAGCTGACTCAATACAACAGCCCTACTCCGTACAAATAACGAAGCCGCTTAGATTTTCATGCTTTTCTCGTCCCACAACTTGGTTTTTCACTGAAGGGCGGCGCTTGGGAGGCGGAGTCACTGGAAAAAAGGAGGAACCACTGGACCTATTTTGCCTTATAGCGCCCCTCCCCTGCACTTTTTTGCCGCGAAAACGGTACAGGGTTGTTCGTCGCGGACCGCACTATCCTCCCGATGCCATATTTTCATCTTCGATACTTGATCGCGGACCGTTCCTTTAAATTCAATATTCAAAAAAAAAGAAAAGGGAAGGCACCTCTCGCTGGCTGGATAGCTTGCCAGGCCACCAGTTATGCTGGGACGAACAAGTAGACTAGAGTCGAAGACATCGTAAAGCAGAGGGGACATCGCCAAGCACACGCCCACGTACAGGCGGTTAAAATAACCAAATGAACAATAACCAGTTGATGTGTAGTAGGTAGTAAAGCATGTTGCGAGACAGTCAAGCTAAAACATAAAGGATGAGAGTGCCCAATTGGGAGGCGCAGTGGTTATCGTCTCCGCTCACAGAAACAGCGTGGAATCGCCTAAACAAAGATTCAGAGACATACTTTTGGAGGGCGCGAGGATGGTATGTTTGTTCGCACAACTGCATTCAGATGTTTACTTTCAGGTCGCCCTTGATTTAGCAGTGATGAATATCCAACGCGGACGAGATCATGGTTTACCAAGTGTTGAAAAGTTTACATTTCCAGAAGCAAAGTTATTATATTGTATGCTCATTTACCCTGCCCACAATAAGGATTTTTCGTCGGCATTACCATATTAAGGTCTTGCTAGATGTACGCCAGTGCGTTTTGTCGAGTGTCAGCGCGAGCGGTCGCGTTGCGTAAAGTTGCGAAACTGATCGCAGCGCAGAATCATTGGTTAACCCTCTGGCGCTAATATTGTGAGGCTGAACCTCATTTGGGCAGTGTCCGGCCTGGAAAAGTAGGGGCATTTTGCTAGTGCTAGGTTGATTTACTAGTTCTTTGATCCTTAAAAGTCCCAACTTGGTGAGACCTGTAGACTTCTTTTTTTTCTCTTTTCTCTTTTTCTTTATGTCAAAGATAACAAACCTTATGCTTGCATAGTTTACAGCGACTTCACGGCGTCTTTTATAGGAGGGCGGCAGTCTGATCGCATTGCAACCCAGCGAAACTTTGCCCCACCAAACCAATCAGCCCCCTCTATTCGATATTCTGCTTATACTGCACTATTTACCCTCTCTCTTTTCAATTTGGCCTGTATCGAGAGTGTTTCAGCTACACTGAGTATCGTCGATTCTGCAACCTTTCTGTTCCGCTGACATGGGACGATCTTTCCGCTGATATTCCGGGACGCTTCAGTACGCCAGAAGATGAGAAGCCTCTATGGAGACCCAGGTTTGGTTCAAGCTCGATTACCCAGTATACTCTCGACCATCAAATTGTGTTTTGATTGTAGCTAATGTCGATTTATGGGTTGGTGGAATTGCGGAGAAACGGATTACCGGATGCGTTGATGGGACCAACGTTTGCCTGCATTATCGGTGATCAGTTCCGGCGTCTGAGAGATGGCGATCGATTCTGGTAATTTGATAGTCGTCCAATTTCAAAACTCTTCGTTTAAGTGTTGAATCTTAATTTTTCCTTACTTTTTTTCTGTCTCCTTTCTTACTACACTATTTGCTTTTGCCTTTTGGCAGCTGCCTCCGTGAAGATTGCGACACAACTACATCAGTCTTGACACTACATTTGCGTCTTTGTATGTCACGGCGATGTAAATCGTACGAATGCCCCTGTTTCTGAGATGCATGCAGCAGTTTTCCATTTGATAAACCGCACTTGTTAAAAGGGAGAGGGCGCTATCCTGCTTGAGGGAGCCATCACTATATACTCGAACGCGGCTATATACAGGCCATATGTAAATCATGAGTTCCTGGAATGGAAATGCTTCAATCAAGCCATTTTGCTGCTCCACAGAGGAGTTCGTAAAGGTTGGCCAATTACCAACCACATTGCCGTGACATACAGAGACAAGTGATTTAGCGGAACATGAACTAGCGGATGTGCAAAATATCCCTTTCCCCAAGCCCGACAGCAAACACTCACAGTCTCATTAGCTGTGGCGGATAGGACATATCACAGGGAAAGGCTTCCAACACAGCTTTGCCCTTTCTCCACCAACTGGAGCTGACAGGCGACTGCAGTGGTGCGAGAAAGGCGCAAAGCTGTCGTTGGAGCCTTTCCTGTGATATGTCACTATTCGCCACAGCTAAATGAGACTGTGAGTGTTTGCTGTCGGGCTTGGGGAAAGGGATATTTTGCACATCCGCTAGTTCATGTTCCGCTAAATCACTTGTCTCTGTATGTAGGAACCGCTGTGCGTTGGTAATTGGCCAACCTCACGGAACTCCTCTGTGGAGGCAAGCAAAATGGCCTTGATTGAAGCATTTCATTCAGAACTCATGATTTTCACAATATGGCCTGTTATAAGCCCGTGCGACGCTACTTATATGATGCTCCCCTCAAGCCAGGATAGCGCCCTATCCCTTTTATTTAAGTGCGGTTTATCAAATGGAAAACTGCTGCATGCATCTCAGAAACAGGGGCCTTCGTACGATTTACATCGCCGTGACATACAACAGTCCAGAATTGTTGTATGTCAAGCTGATGTAGTTGGTGCGACCAATCTTCACGAGCAGCTAGCCAAAAGGCAAAAGCAGAAATAGTGGAGTAAGAAGGGGACAGAAAAAAAGCAACGGAAAAAAATTAAGATTTCAACAACTAGACGAGAGTTTTTGAAATTGGACGACTATCAAATTACCAGAATCGATCGCCATCTCTCAGACGCCGGAACTGATCGCCGATAATGCAGGCAAACGTTGGTCCCATCAACGCATCCGGTAACCGTTTCTCCGCAATACCACCAACCCATAAATCGACATTGGCTACAATCAAAACACAATATGATGTCGAGAGTATACTGGGTAATCGAGCTTGAACCAAACCTGGGTCTCCATAGAGGCTTCTCATCTTCTGGCGGACTGAAGCGTCCGGAATATCAGCGGAAAGATCGTCCCATGTCAGCGGAACAGAAAGATTGCAGAATCGACGATACTCAGTGTAGCTGAAACACTCTCGATACAGGCCAAATTGAAAAAGAGAGGGGTAAATAGTGCAGTATAAGCAGAATATCGAATAGAGGGGGCTGATTGTTTGGTGGGGGCATTCGTGGTTGACAACGATCACTGCCCGACAACCTCCTATTAGAGACCCGTGAAGTCCTGTAAAACTATGCAAGCATAAGGTTTGTTTATCTTTTACAGAAGTCTACAGGTCTCACCAAGTTGGGACTTTAAGGATCAAAGAACTAGTAAATCAACCTAGCACTAGCAAAATGCCCCTACTTTTCCAGGCCGGACACTGCCCAAATGAGAGGTCAGCCTCACAATATTAGCGCCAGAGGGTTAACCAAGTGATTCTGCGCTGCCGATCAGTTTCGCAACACTTACGCAACGCGACCGCTCGCGCTGACACTCGAAAAACGCACTGGCGTACATCTAGCAAGACCTTACTATGGTAATGCCGACGAAAAATCCTTATGGTGGCAGGGAAATGAGCATAAATATAAAACTCATTCTGGAAATGTAAACTTCACACCTTGGTAACCTGATCTCGTCTCCGGTTGGATATTCATCACTGCGCTAAATCAAGGGCGAACCTGAAAGTGCAGCATGCTGAATGCAGTTGTCTGCGAGACGAACATACCATCCCCCCACTCCAAAGTATGTCTCCTGAATCTTTTTTAGCGATCCACGCTGTTCTGTGATCGGAGAACAGATACACTGCGCCTCCCCATTGGCGCACTCTCATCCTTTATGTTACTGAACTGTCTCGCAACATGGCTCTTTACTGACCCTACTACACCATCACTGCGTTAATGTATCATTGTTATTTTACCCCTGTACGTGGGCGTTGTGCTTGGCGCATGTCCCCACTCCTGCCTTACGTATTGTCTTCGACTTCTAGTTTACTTGTTGCCGTCCCAGCATAACTGGTGCATGGCACGTATCCAGCCAGCGAAGTCCTATCCTTTCTCTTTTTTTTTGAAATATGGAATTTAAAAGCCGAACGGTCCCGATTGAAGTATCAAAGATGCAAAAGTATAAGCACTGCGGGGAGGATACGTGCGGTTCCGCGACGAAGCAACCCTGTACCGTTTTCGCGGCAAAAAAGTGCAGGGGAGGGGCGCTATAAGGCAAAATAGGTCCAGTGGTTCCTCCTTTTTTCCAGTGACTCCGCCTCCCAAGCGCCGCCCTTCACATGTGCAAGAGAATTCCAAGTCTGTGGGACGAGAAAAGCTCCCCATGAACTCTAAGTGGGCGCGTTAATGTTGTCGGACTCCCCTCCAGTGTAATCCCCCCCCGCACTGGTACTGTACGTTCCCACGGCCCGCTCGACGCGCGGCACGGAGTGCGTAAATAACTGCGAAACCTGCTTATGTCAGACAAGCCCATATGCCCCATCGGCTCACCCTTTGTCAACACAGTTGCACACGACACACCATGTTCGGAAGATAATCAGAACAACTTTTTTGCAACCTTGACAAATGCAACCAGCACCATGCAAAGAAAAAAAAATAAATGATGAATTCACTGAAAAAATAAGAATATTAAAGGTCAGTCTTTCAAACGTGGCGCCACACCTATTTCTGGCAGCGAGCCAATAACGTGGAACGCTCGTCCATAAGCGCTGTTTCCCCATCGTATGCACGTACAAACTAGGATTGTAATGGGGTCCTATTTAGGACATTGGGCATGTTTTTTCTGCTTTTTCAGCTTTCACTATTGTTTGTGTTACTCTCACAAGCCCTCTGTCCCTTTGTCTATGCAAGAAGCCGCTACAATCTCGTACTCTAGAGATGTGAATCGAGCGCGCGCTTTGTGCTTAAAAAGTTTGTGATAGCAGGCGACAGTATCCAAAGCTGCAGGTGGAATTAGATGCGTAGGACGCCGAGTGCATTACCCCTCAATACGCCTGGGCAACAACCTGGTGAAGGCAGCAGAAAGCCTGATACACGGCTGATGCCCATTCGTGTTCGCCACACCGGGAATACGTTCACGGACCTATACATTTAGTTTCACGCGCAATTTTCGGGGTACTGTACACCGCCGCTCGTCTTGAGTTATAATCTTACCAGTTCTATTACTGTACTTCACAAACCTCATGGAAACGGTCGAAAAGCTTTTCAGTGAGCTCCATATTAAGCATCTGGTTCGGCATTGGCAACTTCAAGGGCGACGCGAACAATCCCCTTATGAGCGATCATGCAAACCTTCGGAGAGAAGTCGTTCAGGAGCGAAGAATGCCTGCAAGAATACAGAGAGGTAAGAAGTTCACTGCAAGAACATGTCTACATCTGCTGTCTTCAGGATACCTCCTATGGTGAGGATCCCTAGCAAGGGAGGGGGGGGTCGCATTTAGTAACTGGAAAAAGGAGTCGTACTCACACTGTTGAGGTTTTACACTTTTATTTTCAATTCTATGAGCTAAGATGCCTTGCTCTTTAAGAATATATCAGAGGAGCAAAATCTCATAATCATTATTATGACAAAATGGCCCTAATGCCCACCTTGTGCAGCGAAATATGTCCATCTTTGATCGGATTGAAGTCCTTGTCATAACGGAATAGGGTCGGATTGATGAGAGTGTGGCCGAACCTGAAATATTTTGATTGCGACTCGAAAAAGAAAGTGTCCAATTATCACAAAGTCAACATTAATATGCATCGATTTTCTCTTGTGCGCGATATTGATGGGTTTTTATTGACTGAACCGTGGGTAATAAGCTCATTAGCGTCCTGATGGTGTAATCGAATCTAAATCATTCAAATCACCCTAAAGGCGCTGCCGATGTTTCTAGGGTGTACGCGAATGCGCCATCGCCACGAGTTCCCCGGAAAAGTTTTTTAGGTAGCTATTGTATCCTCGAGGGTATTACAAATACGTTGTATAAACTAACGCCTTTCAATCAGACAGGTGGTAAGTTGGGCAATCCGCAGCCCACCTTCCACACCCCCCCCCCCTGTTGACGTAGTTTTTTAGGGGAAAACTGGAAAACATGGTAGTTATTGGGGGGGGGGGCTCGCGAAAATGGGTCGTACCAAGAGAACCAACGGCAGTACGTGCTCTGCTTTCAATCCACTGGAAATGAATTATAGACTAGAAAAGTGATAAAAGGGAGAAAGACTCATAGAAGGGAGAAAGAGCAACTGCTTTTGACCACAGCGTATCACGATTTTGTGGATTGTGAACAGAACCCACAATCGACGCTTTTCACTGAGCTATTAAGATGAGTCTGTTCAATGTTCTATTCACCTGAAAGCAGCTGTAGCAAAGGCGTTTGATATTGACGGATCAACCTGCGGATTGTAACCTCCGTACTCGCCAATCATTTCGTTGTAGCCAACCTGAATTGAATAAAGTTGTTGTTCAAGAAAGCTTTTTATCACAGAAAGTCGATCCATTGGGTTTCGAACACGGTCTGTTTGTCCATCATTATATCTCGAATGTTCCTCAAGAATAGAGGGTAACGAGGGAAGAAACGTATTCCTATTCCACGGTTTGTGAATGGGTGGGAGTTGATTGGTGACAACCTGACCCCAGTTCGCTCACCCGACACCTCCAACGGCAGTTCACGAAAAAAAAGAAAAAAGTGATGGGACTTTGGGAAAGGTCACTAAGATGGTAGGAAGGACGAGGACGGTGTGGAAGAGAGGTTATTTTACGATATTCTGCAGAGAGTTCTCTCAGCGCTGTCGTGGGCACGTATTAAGCTTCCCATAACCAGCCTGCCAAGCTAGACAAGACAAGACAAGTGGGTTCTGCATAACTGAATTTGGCCCTCGGCCAGATTTAGCCAACTAAGGCTCAACCTCTTACCTTCCCAAGAATCGTTGGAAGCCATTCACTGTATGTGATGTGTTGTATGATAGCACCAACGATTTTTCGCGCTTCTGGAATGAAAAAACTAAAATAAAAACCACGAATAAAAAAATACATGGTTGAAGTGGGTGCTTAATGCCTCGGGAAGGGCGAGTCTGCAATTACACCTGTCTGGGGTGAGCGGCAATGTTTTAAGGGGTAGGAAGCTAATAGCTGGTGAACCACTTCCTGTTTGCAAATTGAAGCATGCGGGGTGATTTCCCACTCCAGAATCCGTTTACTACGGAGAATTCGACTATTGTAGCTTTTGCGCAAACTTACAGGCCCCTACAGAGGAGGCTCGTAGAGCTTAAAGATGTATAGAAGTCGCACTCTGTGGCTTAGTGGGGCATTTTGCACTTCCTCTAGTTCCTTTAGTTGGATCTTCTTACAACAAGTCTCGCTTGCGTGCGACACTTAAATTCCTGTGAAATCGTTCGAGTGAGCTACTTCGGTCACAGGAATTCAGGGATCATCACAAAGTGGCCTGTAAAAGGTGCTGGGTGCCTTTGGTGCCCCCACCAAGCCAAACGCCGTAAAAGATATGCTGTTTGGGCTTCAAGAAAACTTTCGAACAAAATCAGCAGCTCACCGTGGAAAATCGTCTCTCCATCCCAGTTCACATTCAACTCCAGAAGCTTCGCGGCAATTCGATTGTGTTCACGAAGGAAAAGTGTGTGCATCGCGGTCAAACCGAGCTTGAAACGTGGGCAGTTAGTTCAATAAATCAATAGTCCCGATCAATTCTTTGTAACTCTTCTTCTGGGAGATTGTTCTTCAGCTTAGATAATATTCCTATTCGCGCCGTCAGCCTATTCTCCACCAACTGTGGCCACCTGCAAACATCCACAATTCGTGGAGAATGGGCTGGCGCTGCGCCAGACCCCAATTATCCCACTGGGACACCCCAGCATCTGCAGCCGATAAGTGTATAGTGTGCTCCATATCCCGGAAATGAGTAGGGCGTGGCTGTTTGCCCGAACAAGGCGGCGGTGCTCTTTTGGAGGCATATTGCTGCCTTGGGACATTTGCGTCATGTCCTTGTTCATCACAAGACAGTATGACAGTTGTCCCATATTTAAATATCCCCCGAAGAACGCGTCATATCCAAATGAAGTGCGCAGCCACGCCCTTTCAGCCGCCGAGATATGGAGTGTATACTCACCTGTTCATTAGCACGAAGATCACCAGCTAGGAAGCACCGTATGGGATTCTCTTGTGAAAAGTTTCTTCTGCAGTCCATGTCAGAGTCTCGCTCGAATGGCAAGTAGGGTTTTTGTCCTCTAAACAAAAATACCTGTAACGTGGGCGGAGCAACCTAGGCGGAGTGCGAATAGCCCTGCCTAGAATTCAGCGCGAGTCTAGCCTTGAAAAGGTTAGTCTGCAAGACGGAACAAAAGTTGGAAAATTCGCGATTCCACATGCGAAACGTCATCCGGAAGATAGGCCCCTTTCCTTTCCTTTTCCTACGTTCCTCTTCCTTTTTTCGTTCTCTTTCTTCTGCTGTTCTCCAAAATAGAACACTTACGTTGATACGATGTCGAACCGCAGCAAACCGTGGTCTCCAAACAGATCACGAAGTTCAAGCGCTTGGACTTCTGTGCTACCGTACACCATCGAACCATCCAAATAGGAAGTAATCTGAAAAATTAATTTATTCGAGGAAACGAAGTATCTTGAGGGAATATTAAGAGAGGAAAACGAATGCTATTCTTAAGGGGAATATTAAGAAACTTACGAATTCTCAATTTGTTTAGAATTTGCCCCGTGGGTCCATGAATAGTGCGCCTCCTAATCGAAAAGGTCTTACTAGTTTGGCGTAAAAGGGCTAGGCACTCGCGCTACAGCATCTACCAACGCTGAAGAAAACGTCTGGCGCTAGGCGTTTTAAAATTCGAAACGCCACGCGATTGCTAGGTCGTCCACGAGGTTAAACTTCTAGCCACTTGGAGATTCTCACCACGAAGAAAAAAATAGAAGATACAAGAAAATAAATAATGAAGGAAAGGGCAACCAAACGATGAAAGGGCCATCAAGAAAAGAAACTAGAGCCGTGGCAGGATAGAAAAAGGGGGGCGGTCTACACTAGGGAGGGGAACAAGAAAAAGATAGAGATTTCAGCTCTGAGGCAGGGCCATATAGGATCGCACCAATGTAATAAATACTCGTATAATTAAAACGATCACTTACAATGTTCATTTGATCTCTGTAGGTGACACGCTGGAAGATCAGCGACGTCTCTCCGCTACCGCATACCGCACCGCTACGCTCGAATTCAATACACGGATACTTCTGATGCCTAAAATTCTCAATTTAGCCAATCGATAATGAGGACCTGCAACTGTAGGGAGTAGTCGTTAGGAAATCTCAAGGATCATAATATAAAGATAGAGTCTGCGATAAGCAGATGGCAGAGACTCATAAACGCTGCGCTCTTCCACATGGATATGCCCCTCCTGATGAGGAATGAGGACGAGACGCTCATGAAAAAGGCATAACAGTCATGAATTTTCCACCCACTACCGAATTGTGCCATTGAAGCAGCCGCATCGTTTACGAAATTCAAGACCCCTTGCGTATTTTAGATGGAGATCGCCCCAGCGATTTCCCGAAATACTTCTCAAGGCCCATGTCTCGAAAACAGAAACGATTTCAGAGCAAGCTAGCCGCGCTCTAGCATGCAGCAGGTAATGTAAGGGATCAAATCTCGCTCAAGCCACCCCTTCCTTCTACTGAGGGATACTTAAAGGGTGCCAACTTAAGCACTGATCCGTACGTCAAATGAGCTTTAAAAGTTACCTGCAGCGCGCCCTAAACAGATTCATTGCATGTCCAGGCAGGTGTTGCGAGGCAGTTCGGCCTTGCGTTAGGGACATCTTTGCTGGAGTCCGCGAAGCTAAGCAAGAGCGAGAGCTTTGGTTACACTTGACAATAGCCTACAGGTCTCACCGAATTGGGCCTTCTAACTTCACAGCAACTAAGGGAAAGAAAGCAGCGAAAGTGCAAAATGTCCCTCCCAAGCCAAACCGCAACCCGCTCCGTAATGGGAATAGAGCCGCCCGACGCATCCAAAAATAGGCAAAACAACAACTGATGCATAATCATTTTACCTTTGGATTTAAAAAGAAAAGATGGATAAAAGACTTACACTCCAGTGTGCAGTTTTGGATCATTAGGCGATAGCGGTATGTTGAAACAAGGGTCAAGATTCTCGCAAGTCCTGTTACAAATGGCACCAGAGGCATAGCTCTGTCTTGACAGCGCAGTAGCGGTGTGAGTGAGATCATGATCTGAAAACGAGAATTTGTCCTTACTTTAGGTCTTGGAAGGCACATTTAGCGGTCTGATCGTTTGAACGCGGCTGACAGTCGTCATCCTCACTAACGTTGTGCCTCTTGCCGTTTTAGGAAGAACGAGGCCGAGAAAAAGGAGCGATGACAACCTCACTCCGCCAGGCTAGGTGCATAATGCCTCAAGATCTGCTCTAACTCACCTGACAAATTGGACCCCACTGCCAGTCACCATTGCTGAAAAAGATACCGAATGTGGATTGTGACGGTTTCGTGGCCTACCGAGTAACCATTGAGACCTGAGATGAATAGGTTAATTGGAAGGAGAAACATGATTAGGCGCAGTTCGGGGGTGGGGAGGGTATTTTGCACATCCGCTGCTTCCCATTGTCGTACAGGGCAAACAAGTGAAAGTTTGCAAAATCCTTCCTTGCCAACTCTTGAAGGATACTTCGGAACTCCTATCAAGCAGTGAACACGAGGAGCAGAAGGGCCCCTCGTGTTCACTGCTTGATAAGGAGTTCCCCTAGCCCCATTTGCGGCAAAAATTAGTGAAAGTCAAGATACGAATGAAAAATGGTACGAAAATGTTGGTAGGGTAAACATAGGGAAAACCAGAAATATGGCCAATGCCAACAAAGGGGTGAAGTGAAAAACCCTTTGAAGAGAAGTTTCCAAAATCCAAAAAGAGTTCTCACATCACGTGGATTCGGCTTGGGATATCCATTATACAGCCGTCCTCGTTCCCATCCAACCGGTGTACTGAAACCGTTCTCGTAGATTGGTGGAAGTAATCGTAGCAACGGCATCTGTGACACTCCCCACATCGGGTGGTCGAAATTGTTGCATTGACCGTCATAAGACCTGTGAAATCAGGAATGATCAGATAATTACATTATAGTAGCATTTTAACTTGAAAAGACACTCCGCGGTAACCAAAAATGGGGGAGGCCAGTAGACCTTACATGGTAACGCATTCTTTGACTTCCCCGTATCAGAAAAAAGGCACAGGAATACAGAAGGATTGAGTCTCTGCCCACATGACTACTGCGGCGTGGACATTTTGGCAGTGTAGAGATATCGCGCCGCAGCGCGTCGACGCGCGTCATCGCAATATCTGAACGCTGCCCTACACAGTATGCTCACATACCTGTATTTATTGTGGAAACACAGATCAGTACAAGCGCTTTTGAACTGTCCCGTTTGACAACCCGACAATTCCATCAGCGTTTGAACATGGGACGGGGCTAGTACAGCCTCGTAGGAAACATTCTTCGGTGCCAGTTTATCCACAGGCAAACGGAGACCTGAAATTTCATCACTCAAAAAATCTCGAGTGTGACTGTAAACACAGAAATTTTGCGGCCGTTGGAAACAAACAAGATTCAATAAAGTAAAAAGTTAAACAAAAATTTGAAAATTTTGAAAAAAAAATTGACGGTGAAGTACCTCTTTGAATGTGCTCGTGAACGAGTCTCACGCTCTCTTCGTAGATATCACGAGCTTTGCTCAACTCTACCGCCTAAATATAAACTGCAGGTTTCCGAAATTATTCCACTCACACAAAAAACAAATTCATTCCAGATTGCGCCATGCAAGCCAGTTTATTAGCTTTTTTCTTTGTAAAATGAGAAGCATGCTTCTGGATGAACTGATACGGGTCGCAACAAGGGATAGAGGATGAAGTTTTCGCCGTTGATCAGTTCCTTTTTGAGATGCACCATTCATTCATGACCGTAGTGGCTTATTGAATGCGATGTGGCCTATACAATGACTTGCGGGGGCCAGCCGATGTACAAGTCAGTGTTTTATCCTCCCAGACGAATCTGGTACCAATTTACCGTCCCCGGAGGGTAGAAGGCTTGGTTGGCCTGGGCGGGGTCGACCTGGGAATTTGAACCCAAGACCGCGCGAGTGGTAAGTCACCAGTCGGGCTACGAAGAGGGGTACGTAGAACTACTTCATTGAGGCAAAGAGATCTGATTTCATGATCTTGCAGAAATTTGACTAAACCTTCCAGGGAAGCAAGTAAGCCGCTCATGAACAAGTGTTGCTACGCTGCTATTTATGCAGAAAAAGGATTACAAAAACCAATGAAATCAGCCGAAGTCTTCAAATTTTGGAACATTTATACTGACTTGAAAGAAGATGAAAGTAACGGCATAATATCAGAAATGGTCTCAGTCACACTACTAACCGAAGGCCAATCTCACTGCCAATAATTCGCACCCCTTCCGCCTCCCCTCTGATAAATGAAGGGCGAAAATAGCGCGGACGGCCACCACAGTGCTGCACGCGAGATGTTGTTATCCAGCTAAAATGAGACTCCCATATGTTAAGGGCGGAATCACTGTTACCACGTTTTTGAAGCTGTTTTGTTATGGTAACGGATAGCGCATTCGCCCGGAAAGCATGAGGTGCGGGTTCGACTTTTGCCCTTAACTCAGCATTCTTGTGATAACTGTTATCACGACTCTTTGAGGACAAAAACCACCATGTTGAGGCCAAAAGCATGGCGCATCCCAGAAAGATTGACTTCTGCTAGTGCTCTCGTCATATAGAAGGCATCGAAAAAAGATTGTCTTACCTGAGCCGGAATCGAAAATCGGAACAGCTTTTTAAGATCTTCGGGATCAGAGACGCGATCTTGTGACAATCGAACGCGGGTGTTATCTACTGCTCTGGAAATCATACCCATGACTGACGTTGAAGATCGTATCCTAACAGTGAAAAAATACAAAAAAAATATTGTCCCTCAATGAGAAATGCAAGGCCGACAATCAGGTGTTAAACTAACTCCGGGCTAACTTTTGCTAGTCACCTTGCGAGAGGGGTTCAATTCAGCAAAAATGCGCAGCAACTTAGTTAGGTGGCAAACTTCAATTCCTGAATTTTTCAAAGTTTCGCTTTCAATAACATTCGACCTGTTGAAATTGTTGGACTTTTTGTCGATGGTTTGAGATGAACTGCGATGAGGAAAAGCCACTGTTCATCAAAACCCAATATTCGCAAGAAGATGGGGGGAATAATCCTACTATATATACTCCCGCCCCTAAGTTTGTCTGGTTGGTTGTGTGTGTGTGTAGTGTATGTATGTGTGTTTGACCGGAAATTCATAACTTCTTTCAAAAGAGTGACAGAGCGCTCAAACTGATAAGTCATGTAGGGGGTCGTGCAGGAACACTATTGGTGGGTGGCAGGAAGTGATAAGAGCTGATAAGATACCGCGAGCAGCCTCATAAGGGGAGGGATCACCAAATTCATATTCAGCGGGGCCACAGCAACGCATAAAGACCTTGGTTCCAAAGTAGTTAAGGTAGGGGGGCAGGATGGGAACATTATTGTGGTGGCAGGAATTGATATAAGCAGCTATAAGACACCATAAAGGAAGCCTCAAGAAAGAGAGTGGGTTACCTAATTCATAACACCGGCCAGAGCAATGACCGCACGTTGGATACAAGTAGTAAGGTAGGGGGCAGGATGGGAACATTATTGGTGGGTGGCAGGAATTGATAACAGCTGATAAGATACCGCGAGCAGCCTTATAAGGGGAGGATCACCAAATTCATAGCGCGGGCCCCAGCAACGATGAGACCTTGTTCAGAAGTCAAAGTAGGGGCAGGATGGGAATATTATTGGTGGGTGGCAGGAATTGATAACAGCTGATAAGATACCATAAGGAGCCTCAGAAAGAGTGGGTTACCTAATTCATAACACCAGCCAGAGCAACGACCAGACGTTGTACAAGTAGTAAGATAGGGGAAGACGCGAGGAAATTATTGCTCGGCCTGGCAGGAACTGATAACGAGCTGATAAGAATAACAATAAGGAGGCCTTAAAAGAATAGGGATCACGCTAACTCACAACGTCGACAGAACAACGGGACATCGTCTGTCCAAATGAGCAAGAATAGTGTGCAAGGCATGGGACCATTATTTGAGTTTGCTGGCAGAGACATAGATAAAATAAGATATCCCCAGAAAATTCACAGGCAGAAGTTGTCTTGCAAAACCACTGGTGGAACTGCTCCAGCAAGTAATTCAGGGGTGCTCAGAGAATATTAAAGGTGGGAGTTAAATTCTGTCAGTGCCCGACAACCGCTTTTGGGACTCCGTATATGCTCACATCATCGTGGCCAAATTTCTATTCCTAGCAATAGCTTTGGCGGTCGAAATTGCTTCCACCGCTAAACGCTCGAGTTATCAGCCGGCAAAGGGAATTACGATTGCTCCAAGGGAGGAATAGATATAAGCGACCACAGCATATATTTCGGCACGTCGATTTTTGTTCGATCCAGAATCGAATTCGCTGCACCGCTCTGCTTGTCCTAATCTCATAGAATGGTGCTTTCAGAAAAATATGAATAGGCACAACACTGGCAAATTTTGTTCATTAAAATGGAGAAACATGATGAAATGGGTCGTCCTCGAAACATGAGAATTAGGCTAGGTGTTGGTGCTCAGGACAAATCCTGTCAGTTATCGTAGTACCATGGGTTTAACCATGCGCGCAGTAGTGCGCGTCAGCCAGACTGGTTACTAATATTCCTCGAAAATTACTATTCAGAAAGGAGGTTACCTGTTTACGTTATCTCTAGCCTGTGTGGAGATTGATCTCAGCGTTGCATCGTCAATAAACGCATCCACCTAAAGCATCCTCAATAGCAATTGAAGGAAATTTGCAACTTTTCAACTACTTTTTGTGCATTTTAAGACAATTTCTGCGATAATCAAATGGGCAGAGAAATGAGCGCAATATTAAAGAGGCGCAGTGGTCCAAATTGCTCCGCCTAGGCGAGTAGTGTGACGGCCCTTATCCAAGACAGCAAGCTAAAATTTGAAAACTCACAGTGCGACCAAAATCTCCATCGACTGTAAGCTTAGCGTCAGCCATCATAGCCCCAACGCTATTACCAGCCATGCATGAATAGACTCCCTCATCTTGGCGAGTGACTTTTGTTATCGTCAACTCAGTGCCATCATCTGAAACCTGAACAAGAGAGCCATTTTCTCAAAACAGTGAACAATATGTGTCGTGCGATCCACAAGCCACGGCCGCGTGCGGTCGCGTCACGTCTTATGGGATACTACTATTCACTGCGTCTTGAGTGTCTCAGATGAACCATTAAGTTGACATAAAGGACATTGTGTGCTGTGCCGCTGTGCGACCTACAGGCCATAGCAGCACGCGGTCGCGTCGCGGTATTAGGTGAAGACTGCTAGTTTCTGCGTATTGAGCGTTACGGATGGAAGGTGAACAAGGAGAAGTGAGTCCATGAATTTGTGCAGAGTAGATCAAACACTGTCGCAAGTGTTTGGAACCCATGCTTCGCAAAACAGGTCGAAAAATGCCGCGGGACCGGATGTGTGGTATGCCGCGACGCTTTGCCGCGCGCGGCACATTTACTCAAAAACTGGGAAGGTGCCTCGCGCAAGAGTTTGAAAATCATCGCATTACTGCGCAAGGCGCCACCCGCACTATCTCCCTGCACGCGCTAGGCCTCAGGGCGAGCCCCGCCCCAGATTGCCATGCCCCTTCGCCCAGCGAATATGATTTGCGCCCGTTTCACTCTACAGTTTCTATTTACATTAATTTTCACAATTACACTATATCACACTTTGCAATGACTTTTATGCAGCTACTTATTTGACTCCGCCTCGGATGACTCCGCCCACCAGAGGTAAGCTCGCGTGACGTCGCGCGATGACCTTCCTCTACAGCCCTAATGATCATTGCCAAAAAGCCCTCTGCGTCACTCACCATGAAACGTCCTTTGATGTGAGGAATGACCGATCCTTCGTAGAACCAGGTGATTTCAGGTTTGGGAACACCACGAGCTCGGCAGATGAACGTGACCTGAACCACGTGTACGGAATATTCCAACAGTTTGAATGAAAATAATCGATGGCAATGGGAGCGTAGGTTAAGGGGGTGGATTACAGCTCATTGGTCAAATAGCGCTGCGATAGCAGGTCACTTGTAGAAGCCTGTTGGACAGCACCGCCCCTCCTGCCTCGATGCCTCCCACGACACAATAAGGGACTGCTATCCCCTCC